GGCGAGGGCACGTCGGGTGGCGCAGGGCTGGGGACGGGTGGGGGGGGCCGGGGAGGCCGCTCGGGGGTCCCGTCGGGTTGGATATGGAGGGTGAAGTCGCTCTCGCCCTGGATCGTGAGGGTCTGGTGGGATGTGAGGACGTGGTACCCCTTCCCCGCCGGGCAGATGGCCTTGAATGCAGCTGGGGGGCACCGGGGGTTCAGGAGGGCCTTAGGTGGGACCCCCAAACCAGGATGGGATCCCCCCGGCTCCCATCACCCCTCACACATAACCAGGACCCCCTTGGATTGTGAGGGGCAGGTGGCCTTGAAAACATCTGGGGGGCACAGTGGGACCAGGGGGCCCCCAAATGGGGCTGGGGTCCCCCACACTGCCCCTGCTCCCCCAAACCAGGGCTGTCAGGGGGGCAGTGGCTCCTCCAGACTCCCGTGACCCCTCCATACCGGTGCTGTCGGGAGTGCAGTGCTGACAGCAGCCCCCCCGGGCCCCCCCCAGCCCCCCGTGACCCCCCTGTACCGGTGCCGTCGGGGGGGCAGCGCTGGCAGCGTCCCCCCCAGGCCTTGCCCACACTGCAGCAGCAGGTCCGGCGCGTCAGGCGGGTGGGCAGGGGGTGTTGGCACTGCTGTGCCCCCGACACCAGCCGGAAGCACAGACCCCGCTCCTCACCTGGCTCCGCTGCGGGAGGGGGGAGAGGGAGGTGTCAGCACCCTCAGAGACTCCCCAGAGACCCCCAAAACCCCCCAAACCTCCAGAGCTCCCGCTCCTTGCTGAGCCACACTGCAGGGGGGGAGGGTCCCAGCACTCTCAGTGACTCCTCCAGGGACCCCCAAGAGACCCCAACCCAGCCATCCCTGTACACAGGTACTGGTTCTGGGGGGGCCCAGGACCCCCAACCCCCCATGCACCCCCAGGACCCCCAGCTTCCCCATTATCCCCCAGGACCCCCCATACGCAGGCACTGGCTCCGGGAGGGTCCCAGGACGTGCCCGGCTGAGCAGGAGCAGCGGAAGCTGCCCTGGGTGTTGCGGCACTCGCCGGGCTGGCACACGCCGGGCAGGGCACACTCGTTAATGTCTGTGACAGGTAGAACACACCTGAGCCAGGTAGGACACACCTCACACAGATATGACACACCTGAACCCATCCCACACAGCCCTGACCCCACACACCCCCCCACTCTCCCGGCAGGACACACCCATTGGTGTCTGACAGACGTGACACAGGTGTGACAGAAGTGTGAACAAACCCGAGCCCCACGCACTCCCTGACACCCCCTGCACGCGCTGGGTAGGGCACACCCAACGTCTGCGACACACGTGAACACGCGTGAACACACCTGCACCCACCACACACACACAGCCCTGTGCAAGCCCCCGCAC